TGTAGGTAAAATAGTTATTTAATATAATTTGATATTATCCTTTAAATATTAAAGAGAATCATTAGGAGGACAATTTGGCTGATGTGTCAACACCAAAAAAATTTTCAGCTCTTTTAAATAATTTAAATTCTATAATAATTCATATTATCCTACTAGCCAAACACTCTTTATGACTACCATCATATTAACCAAACACTCTTCATAATACAATCTCTATAGCCAAACATAATTAATTTCACTAAATTAAATTTAAAAATGTTAATATAAATTTTATATAATTAGCAAACACATTTAAGATTAAAATAATTATAATTTTAATTGTCAAACACATTAGAATTTTTATAAACGTGCCTAAATTAGTTATTCAAATATTGTAATATTAATTCTTATCATTAAATTATTAAAAAATATTACTATTCTTATAATTACCATAAATAGAATTCAATTTATATCATAATGGTAAGATTGAATTCGTATATCATAAATCGTATTTTGAAGATTATGATATTAAACAAATACATTTTATTAATAAATGATATAAAATGACTAAAAAATTATTTTTAAAAAAAGAAATCACGGGTGTATCACATTTCTATACAAAATAATTGTAAAATTTATATATATAAAATAAATTTTAGATTTCTATTAGGATAGCACCTAAAACTATTTATGAACAATTAATTAAATCCAAATTTGTATTTTAAAAACTACATTATCACTCTTATAATTACGCTAAACCTATAAGATTCAATTCATATTTGTGAACTTTTATTTTATATATTTGAGTCATAAACCGTATTTTTAAAGATTAAGATTAAATAAATACATTTTATTAATAAGTGATATATATATTGACGAAAAAAGCTAAAAATTTGTTGTTTTCAATTCTTTTACGAGTGTGATACATTTATATACAAAATAATTACAAATTTTATACGTATAAACGAGTTATGGATTTCGTATAATAATTTTCCTAATAACTATATATATTTTTTAAACTAAAACTACATTGATTTTACTTGCATATCATATTATCATGCGTGTAACGCATGTAACTATCTAGTGTTCTACTACAACATAAGATTGTTGACTCCAAATGTGTTTTATTGTAATTCTTTTTTAAAACGA